GAAAAAAAGAAGGAAAAAATAGAATTATTTTTTAACAAATTAATAAATTTTTAAAAAAGATAAAATAAGGAGATATGGGAGAATCGAAAAAGAGAAATCATTTGGTGACGATTGTAAATAAAGTTTGTTAAAACCAACAAGTAAGCTGACGGCTTATATTTCTAATTCCATTCAATGACCGAGCTTCTGTTATCTCAGTTTATATTTGCAGCTTTTCTGTCTCTCTTCCTCTCCCCCTCCCATTCTCCTCGCTTCTCCCTCTCTCTTCCCCTTTACCCCCTTCTCTCTCTTCCTCTCTCTCTCTCTCCCCCTCTCTATCTTTTCTCTTCTTCTCTCTCCTCTCTCTCTTCTCTCTTTCTCTCTCTCTCTCTCTCTCTCTCCTCTCCTCTCTCTCTCTCTCTCTCTTCTCTCCCCTCTCCTTCTGCTCCTCTCTCTCTCGTTCTTCTCTCGTCTCTCGTCTCCTCTTTTCTCTTCTCTCTCTTCTCTCTCTCTCTTCTCCTCTCTCTCCTCTCCTCTCTCTCCTCTCTCTACTTCTCTCTCTTTCTCTTCTCTTCTCTTTCTCTCTCTCTCTCTCTCTCTCTCTCTCTCGCCTCTCTCTCTGCTCTCTCTCTCTCTCCCCTCTCTCTCTTTCTCTCTTTCTCTCTCTCTCTCTCTCCTCTCTCTCTCTCTCTCTCTCTCTCTCTCTCTCTCTCTCTCTCCCTCTCTCTCTCTCTCTCCCTCCCTCCCTCCCTCCCTCCCTCTCTCTCTTCTCCTTCTCTCTCTCTCTCTCTCTCTCTCTCTTCAGCAGACGGTAGTGTAGACCTCTGCTCCGCATATGCATAGTGAAAAAAGTATATGGAAAAAAAAACTTGACACGCGAACACCTCGCAAATATCAAAGAAAGACTCACCGATTGTACAGCTGTGATATACAAAAAGGTAAATGTATGGTCAAAAATCGGGCTTTGTCCTGAGCCCTTCCATGGGAAAGTACGCATGCGCAGCCAGAACGTGACGTTGCTAACACGCCACAAACTGGTCGGGCGAAACCACACTGTGCAGCTTTGTCACTAATCATCTGCCACTCCAATTATATATTCTATAATGAAATTCAAGACATATCAATGGCAGGAGTGTCTGATCTCTTGCAGTGTCTGTAGATTATGAAGAACGGGAAAAGCGAATCTGGGAGAAACGAGAGAGGACGAACCTCCACAGCTGAGCCCCCTCCTGCGTTTCATTGCCTCTGTCACTGCATGTGAAGTAGACAACGACTCAAGTCCCTCCCTTAAAAAGTCCAACATCTAGAAGTGAACTCACCCTTTGCCGTTGACGAACATTCCCCTGCATCGCTCAGCCATGATATAAAAGTTTCCGCGCGCGTCACCCACCTTGCCAGCGCCTTCCTCTCCCCTTCGGCGCGGGAACGCTTGGCTGCGTCACGTGCCCGATCCTTGAGAGGAGTAGCCCGCGGCGGCGCTGAGATTGGGCTCGTGCTGAGATGGGCTCACGAGCGGGGCGGTGCTGAGATTGGCGGCGGAGGCGGTGCTGAGATTGGGCTCACGAGCGGAGGCGGTGCTAGATTGGGAAGAGCGGAGAGCGCGAGGCGGTGCTGGAGATTGGGCTCACGAGCGGAGGCGGTTGCTGAGGATTGGGGCTCACGAGCGGAGGCGGTGCTGAGATTGGGCTCACGAGCGGAGCGTGCTGAGATGGGCTCACGGGGAGGCGACCTGAGATTGGGCTCACGAGCGGAGGCGGTGCTAATCCAAATTACTGAAAAATACATTTTAATTTCCATCTTTTCATGACTTCCCTAAAATATCGAGAAGGAAAACAGATTCTCATTTCTGATCCTCAGTGGAAATCAGCTTTACTCTTTGAAGCGTTTGTTAGATTGAATACTACGACCGTCTTGAAGGTAGGGTTAGTTAACATTCCATATCAATGATAAAGAATAATTTCGTAATCATTGGTGTTCATTCAAATTCCTTTTAATTAAATCTTGTTTATATCATGAATTTCTCACAATTTTCTGTTAAAGTAACAGTTTAAACCCAACCGCAGTACGTTTATGAAAACATATAAATCAATATACAACTGTGTCGCCATCGAATTACATGCTTTCTCTGTAATGTAAATGTGTTAAGAATCTTGGAATGGATAATTTACATCAAATGGTATCAACATAAAAAACGTAGCTAAAAAGTAGTTTCGTGGGAAGAGAGAATCAAATGTAATGTGGACAAGAAATCTTATAAGGTGAATTACAATTCATCTCACATGGCACAAACAGAAAATGAAATGAAATGTAAACAAGAGATTTACAATCTCATACGATACAAAACAGGTATATATGGTTCCCACAGGATCCAGCTGTCACAATGCAACAGTAGTAGTAGCATTTCACACCTTGGTAGCTGTACTGTCTGGTTTGTCATGTTTGTGTTTTTATTTCATTACGGACCAAAAATAGTATTTCGTTATTTCAAGACACTGTGAACTACAGTGACAACAAACCATTCAAAACATATAGGTAATTATCAAGCTACTGTAAAAAGAGACCATTCTTCTCTCCTATGAAATCGTACTTATCTGAAGGAGGCAAAGTGGAACGAAGACAACACTAAGCAAGATAATAAAAAAATTGCTTCTTTTGCCTCTTTCCATTCTTCCTCCTTTCCTACTCCATCTTGATTTTTCTTTCT